TGGCTCTGAGCATGGTGGATGCGGCGACTTGTTACCACGCAGCCAAGCTTTTACGTTGTCGAGAACCTCACCATGTGGCAGGCAAGCTGATGACTGGATGGATCGCCATCTACGGTGTCCCTGTCAGCCTGGTGTGCGACCAAGGCGGCGAGTTCGAGTCTGACTTCATTGCCACGTTAGAACAACATGGCATTGCCAGCAAGGTGACCGGGAGTCATGCGGCATGGCAACACGGCTTCTGTGAGAGGCAAGGCGCTCTCCTTGGCGTCGCGTGAACTGCTGCCATAGACACCGATCACTCTGAGGGTCGGAAGGCCATGAAAGTTGCGCTGGCCTGCGCGTTGCAAGCCAAAAATGCGACTGTGAGTCGCCGCGGGCACTCTGCGCGCCAACTGGTGTTTGGACGTCAGTGCTACATGCCGGAGCTCCTCGACGAAGAAACCTGGGGTGCGGCCGCTATTGGCCAGGCTTTGTCTTTGGAAGGCGAAGTGGCGCGACAAGCAGAGTTGAGGGCTGCTGCGAAAATGGCCTTGCTCCGATCCGATATACACGAGAAGCTGAAGGTGGCACTACGTCGGGCGCCTGGAGGTCAAGTTCGAGAGTTTGCTCCTGGAGAAATGGTGTATTTTTGGTCCCCGGCGTCGGATGTGAAGAACAAGCGCTACAAGCGGAACTCTGGAGCTTGGAGAGGTCCTGCCGTGGTTTTGATGCCAGATGGTCAGCAGAAGTACTTCGTTTCTTGGCGAGGACGGTGTTTGTTGGTGGCAGCTGCGAACTTGAAGGTGGCCTCGCTGGAAGCTGCGGACGACCACGACCTCCGACTTCGTGAAGCAGAAGCACACCTGGAACGTGGCTACCTGGACCTGTCCGACGAGGTGGCGGTCGACTCTCACCAGGAAGCCGAGTCGAATGTGGAGCCTCACTTGCCTGCGCTACGGGTTCGTCGTCCACGGAATGGACTGGGCCGGAAGCTGTCAGAGGCTCAGCGCGTGATGAAGCACTTGAAGAGTGTGAAGAGAATGCTCAAGCTTCCTTTACGACCCCAACTTCGGCGACGACCACGTCGAGTACAAGGTGGACTCCCACTTCCAGACGGTCCTCCACCACCTGCAGGAGAAGTTCGACCTGAAGACGTCCCAGTGCCGAGCGATGTTGGCAGTGACTACGCTCCTTCGGAGTCCCCAGAGGTGGAGAGAGTTCCTCAAGAACGTTTGGTTCCTGTTGTTCCTGCTCCTGTGGATGCCGCTGCTCTTCGACGACGACAGGAGATGCTGGATGATCTGCCGAATACTCGTTTGTTCCGAAAGCGACTTCGTGACGAAGCAGGAGAAGAAGCAGAACCTGAACAACCCCAAGCCAAGCGCCTGCGTGACCCGGACTTCAACAACTACGTCCTCACGGCGTTGAGCGAGGGAGAACTTTTCAAACTTCCTGTTCGTAAGAAGGAGTGGCTGAGCAAGGCGGAGGTGAACCAGTTGGGCAAGCTTCTGGACTTGCCGCTCAGTTCTGTTCGGCTGCGCCGCGCTCCCCGGAAACGACTTCAACGTCCTGGACCGCACCGTGCACGACCCAGAACGACGGTGATGTTTCAGAAGGATCCCTCGAGTGTCCTGGTGGGCCAAGAGACAGCCGAGCAGGTGGAGCAGCGACCTCAGCGGAAGGTTCCTTTCCTGTGGAGGGGGATGACGTTGTTCACAAAGCAAAGGCGGCGTGGGCACCGCCGTCGTGTACCTTTACTGACCTTCTACGGCTACTCGGCAGAGGGCAAGCAGAACATGGAGTCTTTGTTTGTGCAGAAAGATGGCGTGACCTATGCCGTCCCTCCGGTCAACGAGGCCACGTTCTACGCGGCCTGTGCGGACATGGCGGAGAGCATGTGCGTGACGGAGGCCTTCCTCTTGAAGATGAAGGCCAGTGGCAAAGAGTTGGACGCCCGCTTCTTTGACGAAAAGGAGGCAGAGCAGTTTGCTAAGTCTGACCTGGCGGAGTGGGAAGCTTGGGAGAAGAACAAAGTGGTGCAACGGTTGTCTCCTGAGGAAGCCAGAAGAGTACCAGCGCACCGTGTTTTTCGAGTTCCTGCGCGTGTTGTTCGGACGAACAAGGCGGCCCTCGGTTCGGACCTCCTGCAAGCAAAATCGAGGATTGTCCTTCCAGGACATACAGATCCGGATCTTGGCTCGGTGAGAACGGACTCTCCGACAACACAGGAAAGTGCTGTGAGGCTGACTTTGTGCCTGGCGGCCTCTCGAAGCTGGTGTGTTTTCCTCTTTGACGTGTCCACGGCCTTCCTGTCAGGCAAGGCAGTGGGAAGAGAACTCTACGTCCGTCCTCCTCGTGACCTTGCCGGCATCCATGCCGGAGAGCTGTGGCGCATTCTAAGGAGTGCGTATGGACTCGCTGAAGCTCCACGTCTTTGGTACGAGCGTGCCAAGGAGTGTTTGTCGGAGTGTGGCTTTGAGGAGGTGGCTTTTGCTCCGGCGACCTTTGTGCTGCGGGTGAAGGCTACAAGAGGTGGTTGGGAGGTCCGTGCGGTTCTTTGTCTACACGTGGATGATGGACTGCTTGCGGCATGTCGATGCTATGCGGAAGAGATCCGGAAGGAAGTCGATAAACGGTTCCAGATCAAGGTGTGGCACCTTGTCGGCGACAAGCCTTGTGACTATCTGGGACTGAAGCTCTCCTACCTGGACGGCAACTTCATCACGGACATGACCGAGTATGTCTTGGCCATCCAGTTCCCGGAGCTTGCCGCTTTAAAGCCCAAGGCGGTGTTGACGGGTGAGTACCTCAAGGCTTACCGTCGCTTGGTGGCTCAGCTACGTTGGCCTGCTCACCGCGTGCTTCCAGAGCTGCTGTTCCCAGTTTCTTCGTTGGCGCAGCGCGTTTCTGGAGCTGTTTGGGAAGACCTGGTGGAGGCAGTGAGCTTGCTGGAGACCTTCCACTCACACGCGAGAGAGGGGCAGGCCAGACTGAAGATCCCTGCTGTTGGAAATGATCCAGTTTTGATCACCTACTTCGATGCGTCCTTGGGGAAGACCTCTTCGACATCGGGGCAGAGGGGTGAAGTCCACTTCATTTCGGGCAGAGAGGCTTTGAGCACGGCCTGTGCCGCCGGGGTGATTGAGTTTCACAGCAACAAGATTGCCCGAGTGGTGCGGTCAAGCATGGCGGCGGAATGCTGCTCCATGTCTGCTGCAGCAGACCGCCGCCTGTACAACCAAAAGCTTTTGGAGGCCTTGTGGCATGGTTATCTGGAGGTTTCGCCAGAGTGGAAAAGCGAGCTCACCATCCCCGGCTACTTGGTCACGGATGCGAAGTCGCTGTTTGACCATGTTCATGGCTCGTCGCTTCTGGCTTCGGAGAGGCAGACTTCGCTGGACATCCTGTCCGTTCGTCAGTTGATCCAGGAGGGTCATCTGAAGCTGTTTTGGGTGCCGACCTGGAAACAGTACGGGGACATGCTGACCAAGAGCATGCAGGACGTGCTGTTCCGGAGTTTCAGAAAGAAAGGTTGTTTGTGCCTTGTGGAGTCTGACGAAGATCAGGCTGAAGAGGCCCGTAGAGCTGGCGTAAGGAAGGGACAGCGTGAAAGACGCAAAGCCCGTATGTCGGCTAGCTAGTTGATCCCTGGCTGGGCAATTTTCCATTTTCTGGGATGTGATGAATCCCATGTGCGCAGCCCTTGCCCGCCAGGATCACCG